CAAGTGTTGGAACCTTCTTTTTCGAATTTTCCAGGAGCAAAATCTGGAGTTGTTAGTGAACTCACTTGTGATTGATGGATTTTTTAGTTGTGTTTAAAGCTTACTGGTCTTAAAATAAATAAATAATTTGGAAGTGAATTGGGGGGGAGACTAAACAGAGAATAGAACCAAAGAAACAAACATGCACTGATTGGAGTTTTTATTGGGTTTGGGAATTACTAATAAGTGACGTTTATGTGAGTTCTTCTACCTCTAAAGTTTGCTTCTCATGGGTCCAAATAACTAATTTTCTTATGTTTTGGTTTTGGTATCAAATGACTGATTTGCATTGATGGTCATATAACCGGACTTGACCAAGTATGATGATAACTACTTACATTTGGTATCAACAGATCCTTATCAATGAATGATTATGTTTTAATGGAAAAGAAATTTATTTTATCCTTAGGAGTGTATAACGTGTGTCATTTGTTATTTTTATCCTTGATATCCTCTTGTCCTTTTAAAGAAAAATAAGATATGATATTACTAACAGGAATCTCACAGATAAAAACTTCTAGTTTAAGAGATATTATCACACTACATAATGATTTTGTTAAGTGTACTATTTAACAGCAATCTACATAAAGAGAGGAGGATACAAATATCCATCAATAAGAGAAGAAAAAAGCTATGGCGGAGACAACGAGTTCGATCTCAGTATTGGTTCCGTTGATGTTATTGGGATGTTTTGGTGTGAAATGGTTGGTTAAGAAAGTGAATGTGTGGCTCTATGAGTCTAGCCTTGGGGAGAACAAACACTATCTACCACCAGGAGATTTGGGTTGGCCTTTCATTGGCAACATGTTGTCTTTTCTCAGAGCTTTCAAGACCTCTGACCCTGACTCATTTGCCCGCACCTTAACCAAAAGGTAATCTATCTACAAATATTTGAAAATCGATAGTAAATCCGTTGCAAAATACCCGTCGCAGAATTCTTGTATCCATTTTATATCTCTTAGTCTCTATGTTTTTCAATGATGTGCAGGTATGGACCTAAAGGTATCTACAAGGCACACATGTTTGGGAATCCAAGTATAATAGTAACAACGCCGGATACTTGTCGGCGTGTACTGACCTATGATGATGCCTTCCGGCCAGGTTGGCCAAAGTCTACAATGGAACTCATTGGAAAGAAGTCATTCATCGGTATCTCTTCTGAAGAACACAAACGGCTCAGGCGTTTGACTGCTGCTCCAGTCAATGGACATGAAGCTCTCTCTATCTACATACCGTACATTGAAGAAAACGTTATTACCGCGCTAGACAAGTGGGCCAAAATGGGAGAATTCGAGTTCTTGACTCATCTTCGTAAGCTTACCTTTAGGATCATAATGTACATCTTTCTCAGCACCGAGAGTGAGAATGTCATGGATGCGTTGGAACGAGAATATACCGCTCTTAACTATGGAGTTCGAGCAATGGCGATCAATATTCCTGGATTTGCTTATCATAAAGCACTCAAGGTATAATTAAACCATCCTTTATATCTTTTTTGAAGATTTTGATGATCATTACTTTTCGATATACAGGCGAGGAAAAAACTTGTAGCTGCCTTTCAGTCTACTGTGACTGAACGCAGGAATCAAAGAAAGCAGAACAATTCATCCAGTAATAAAGATATGTTGGATAATCTTCTTGATGCTAAAGATGAAAATGGAAAAACTTTAGATGACGAAGAGATTATCGATGTTCTTCTCATGTATCTTAATGCCGGTCATGAATCCTCTGGCCACACCATTATGTGGGCTACCATTTTCCTTCAAGAACATCCTGAGTTTCTACAAAGGGCAAAGGTAAATGGAGAGACATATATATTATTTCATTTCCTTTTGGTTTTCTATACTTTTTTCTTCCGGATTGAGTCATGGTAATTCGGCCTTCTGCATATGTCGGTGCTATAGACCGAGCAAGAGATGATCTTGAGAAATAGGCCTAAGGAACAAAAGGGCCTAACTCTAAAAGAGACCCGACAAATGGAGTTCCTATCACAGGTAAAGGTTTTGGTGTCTCATATGAGTTTATCGCAACGGATGTTATCGGCGATTTCATCCTTTAAACTGTGTTTCTTCACTAGGTTGTTGATGAGACACTTCGAGTCATAACATTCTCACTTACCGCTTTCCGGGAGGCAAAGACTGACGTCGAAATGAATGGTTAGTATATAATGTAAATACAGAACTTATATGAAATACAAAACACCTGATTGTTTTGCATTATGCAATTGCAGGGTATTTGATCCCAAAAGGTTGGAAGGTTTTGACATGGTTTAGGGATGTCCACATGGACCCTGAAGTCTACCCGGATCCAAGAAAATTTGATCCTTCTAGATGGGATGTAAGTTAGAGTTCTTATCATACGTTTTTCTTGTTCGGTCCAAAGATTGATTCAATTTGAATGTTTGGAGGACAAACTAACATTGTATGGTTGTGTTTTTTTCAGAAGGGTTTCGTACCAAAAGCTGGCGCGTTCCTTCCGTTTGGAGCTGGAAGCCATTTATGCCCAGGAAATGATCTCGCAAAGCTCGAGATTTCGATATTTATTCATCATTTCCTCCTCAAATACAAGTAAGACTTGCAAAGTCTGAATCTTTAAAAGCTCATTTCTTTCTGTATCATGTTTGATGTAATTCATATCTTGCAGGGTGTAGCGGAGCAACACCGAGTGTCCAGTGATGTATCTGCCTCACACAAGACCAAAGGATAATTGCTTGGCAAGAATCACTTATCAGTAAAAACTGTATTCTCATCTTCTCCCTTAAGTTTTAGCTCATCAGTTATGGTGTTCGTTAACTCTTTAGTTTAATGACTGTCTACTTTTACTCTGTTTCTCAGAAACAGAGCTTTGTTATCTTCATTTGGTATTACAATAGTGTTATAAAATTTGGGACTTTGATAATAATCACTTGATCAAAAAGATAACAAACTCCCATATGTTGATATCAAAATAAGATAGAATCTTGTAATGAGAAAATGTAAATAAAATTTGATAGCTGCCAAAACAAAATTAGAAAAAGATTTTAAGGATAATATAAGCCCACACCACAACCTGACATTACTGTCCACACTATCTGCTTTCATACAAAGACACAGAGACAAAAATAAACAGCTTGGAGTCTTTGGAATTGGACCATTTCATACTTATATTATTAACACTTTGGTTTTTATGTTTTCTATTATATTTTCCTTAAAGAAAGAAACAGCACAGAACAAAAAGCTTTACAGATCAGAGGGATCCAATGTCGAGATTCTCGCAACGAAGCCTCGAAATCGATCAATCTCCGTTCACTGTTTCCTCAATTTGATTCCTTTTTTCTGGTTCTTACATCAAAATCCCTAACTGTTGTTTCATTATCTTGAATCCTCTGTTCTGAGCCCTAATTTGGCTAAAAAGTCTGTAACTTTAATGGCGACCAGAGGAAGCAGATCGGAGAAAGTGAAGAGGATTTTCCAGCAATTCGACGGGAATCGAGATGGTGGGCTTAATCGAGAAGAAATGGCTGCTCTTGTCGTAGCTGTAAACCCTAGAGTCAAATTCAGTGACGAACAGATCAACGCGATTCTCGACGAAGTTTTTCGTACTTACGCTGAGTTCATCGACCCAAACAAGGGTTTGACTTACGACGGTCTTCTCCGTACTTACGACGACGGTGCCGGAGATGTCGACAGAGATTTCGACGCTTTAGGTCTCGAGCTTAACGCCGACGAGACCGTTAAAGGCTCTGAAGCTTCGTCTTCTTCGATTACTGACGAGAGAGCTGTTGAAGCGCAGAAGAAACAGCGAACAGCTGCTTGGGCTGTTTCTCCGAATCATGGAATCGTTTTTGATGAGACTTGGAAATTAGTCGACGATTTGGAGATTCTTGTCAAGAGATTGAAATCGAAACAGGAGAAAGATGGGAAATTGAAAGCAGATAATAATGGTAACAATAACAATAATGTTGATGCGTTTTCTGATGCTGGTTGGTCTAGAGAGTTAGGTCCGTCTACGGAGATTTCAGAGAAGAGAATCTATTGGGAAGAGTCTAGTCATGATTACACTGTGTTTGTGAAGGAATTAGGAGTGTTGAGAAGCAAAGCAGATGGAGCTAGATCGAGAGAAGAGGCTTTTGATGGACATATGGCGATTGGTAGCGTTTTATATGAGCATCAGTTGTTTAAAGAAGCTCTCGTTAGCTTCAAGAGAGCTTGCGAATTGCAACCGACTGATGTGAGACCTCATTTCAAAGCTGGGAATTGTCTTTACGTATTGGGGAAATGCAAAGAATCGAAAGACGAGTTTTTGTTGGCGTTGGAAGCGGCTGAGTCGGGTGGGAATCAGTGGGCTTATTTGCTTCCTCAGATTTATGTCAATCTCGGTATTGCGCTTGAAGGAGAAGGTATGGTTTTGAGTGCTTGTGAGTATTATAGAGAAGCTGCGATTCTGTGTCCTACGCATTATAGAGCTTTGAAGCTTCTAGGTAGTGCGTTGTTCGGTGTGGGAGAGTATAGAGCAGCGGTTAAGGCCTTAGAGGAAGCTATTTACTTGAAACCGGATTATGCAGATGCTCATTGTGATTTAGCTTCGTCGTTGCATTCAATGGGTGAAGACGAGAGAGCTATCGAGGTTTTCCAGAGAGCTATAGACTTGAAACCTGGCCATGTCGATGCTTTGTATAATCTTGGTGGGCTTTACATGGATTTAGGTAGGTTTCAGAGAGCTTCGGAGATGTACACTAGGGTTTTAGCAGTATGGCCTAACCATTGGCGTGCTCAGCTCAACAAGGCGGTTTCTTTGCTAGGTGCTGGTGAGACCGAAGAAGCTAAACGAGCGCTTAAGGAGGCGCTAAAACTGACAAACCGGGTTGAATTGCATGATGCCATATCTCATTTGAAACATTTGCAGAAGAAAAAAGGTAAAAACAATGGAAATGGTAATGGAGGAGAAGGTCCGTTTATCGTCGTGGAAGCTTCCAAGTTCAAGATTGTGGGTGAGAAGACGACTCTGAGACCGGATTTAGCCACAGCTCTTCAAATTAGAGCATTTCAGAGAGTTACAAGACTCGGGAAATGTGATGTGGAGGCTGTGCGAAAGGAGATGAGAGACAACGATGTTCCTGTATCGTATTCTGGAAGCGGTGGGCCGACGAAATCAATTCGGAAACCCAATTTAGAGGAGATTCTCCGGCGTATGCTGAATTCCCTTAAACCCGAAACTTTTCAAGGAGCGATTAAGGCGATAAACGAGAAAATCCTCTCTGTTCTCGATGATTCGGGGTCGGGAAGAGTTGATATGGGTATGTTTTACGCCGTGATTGCGCCTTTATGCGGTGGACATTCAGACAAAAGGAAAAGAGTTGCTTTCGATGCACTTCTTTGGAGACCCGTAAACGAAGGAAGCTCTCAGATTACCAAAACGGATGCAATTAAGTACATCAAACTGTTGAGAGCTATTTACATTCCATCGCACGGAATGAGTGAATTTTTAGAAGTTCACGGAGAAGAAGAAGCTGATTCCACGATGACAGTAACGTTTAATCAGTTTTTAGCCATGTTCGACGATCCAGATTGGGGATTCGGTATCATGTCTACGATTCTTAAACTGGAGACGACCGATAGGAACCGTCATGGAAACCATGTGTGCTCAGTATGTCGGTATCCGGTCATCGGATCTCGGTTTAAAGAAGTGAAAGCCCGGTTTAGTTTGTGTAACCAGTGTTACAGTGAAGGGAAGGTTCCTCCTTCGTTTAAACAAGAGGAATACAAGTTCCGAGAATATGGGAGTGAAGCTGAAGCCATGAAAGCTAAGTGTGTCTGTTTCTCGATGCAATCTCATAAAAAACCGATTGCCACTTGAAAGAAACTAATTCATCAAGTTTTTTTTTATTCAAATCTCTCTCTCTAATCTTCAAATTGTAACCTTTTTTCATTTTATTTTAACTTGTGTGCATAGTTTCACTGAAGTGTAATGTTGTTGAGAGTGTGTAATGTTGTTTTGGTTAATCAGATGAGGAATGACTTGGTGAGCAAATTAAA